TTAACTTATTCGTAAAGTGAGTCACCTATTCTCAAATGCTGCGATGCCATTTCTGTTTACAAATAATTTCAATGTAATATTTCATTACAAGAACATATACCTAAGATATGAAATATAGGATTTAACATCAATAACTGCAGTCCTGAATTTGATGTCATGGAACAAATAAATTTGAAAAATAAAGTCAATGCAAGCCACTTCAGGATTATCCAGTGATAGTTGGAGGGGGGTGATAGCCTAGTGGTATTATCGCTGGACTGTTACTCCACAGACCCAGTTGATGATCTGGGGAACTGGGTTCAAATCCTGCCATGGTGGAATCCAAATTCAGTAAAAATCTGGAATTAAGAGTCTAACGATGATCATGAATTATCATGAAAAACCCATCTGGGTCACTAATCCCTTTTAGGGAAGGAAACTGCTATCCTTGCCTGATCTGGTCTACATGTGACTCCTGACCCACAGCAATGTGGTTGATTCTTAACGGCCCTCTAGGTAATTACGGATGAGCAATAAATGCTAGCCTAGCCAGTGATGTCCTCATCCTATGAATGAATTGAAAAAGAAGTTTCATGTGTCTAGAGATACCAAATAACAGTAAATGAAGGAACACAAAGATCAAGTACCAGGTGAAGTCATTGTCAGGAAACAAGTCTACATGATTGTGGAGATAGTTAGCTTAATGATGCTGCCTTTTATCATAGACAAGAAGGCAATAGTGTTTTCTTGGCATGCTGCTAATGGGCTCAGGATACCTAATGATGAGATTCTAAAGAACAATCTGATCAGTAAACAGATTGCACGCATAGGAGTTTGTTGAAATTAAAGTCTGAGGAATGCAGTATTATCACACAAGAATAAATTTTGTAAGCCTTTGTAAAGAAATTTGATCACCAATTTTAAATTGCCTAAGCATTACTAACCACAAGATGCCACTATTACCAGAAAGATTTTGAAGTAAAGTTTTGAATCTTTATTCTGCATTTCACACTGAATGAGGCAGTAAATTTTTAATTCCGATTTTGTGCAGTATTGCGCACCCAATGTGAATTCTACTTTTTAAAAAATATGCAATTTGGAGTATTAGAGCTTGATTATAATGGATGCAAGAACAACATTTCATAATTTTTCCCTTGGTATTATTGTTGGCTCTAGGCAACAGCAGCAAAGAAAATGGGTGGAAGCTTCCAGGCACAGAGATGGTAGACATGAAGGCAGGATAGAAATCAGATTTCCACCAATTCCCTACCTCCATCAGAAGTAAATTCTGGAATGACCAGATTTGACCTTCCCACCTGCCACATCTGACGCCCTTCAGTAGGTAATAAATGGCAACTTAAATGCCTTTTCCCCTCTAGGCTACAACTACTTGTTTTTGGTAGAATCCCTACAGTTTAGAAACAGGAAATTCAGCCCAACAAGTCCACACTGACCCTCTGAAGAACATCCCACCCAGTCTCATTCACCTACCCCTATCCCTGCATTACCCATGGCTAACGCACCTAACCTACACATTCCTGAACACTTTGGGAAATTGAGCATGGCCAATCCACCTAACCTGCACATCTTTGGACTGTGGGAGGAAACCAGAGCACCCAGAAGAAACCCACGCAGACACAGGGAGAACGTGCAAACTCCACACAGACAGTTGCCCGAGGGTGGAATCAAACCTGGATCCCTGACGTTGTGATGCCGCAGTGCTAACCACTGAACCAACGTGCCGCCCTTCAGCTCCAGTGGGGGAAGAAAAGCAGTCTGTTCGTTCTCTTGATGGAAATGGCAGGAATGGATGGGATTGGTGTCCTTCAATCAGCATTAATCCTAATCTGTGCATGATTGAGGGTCTGGACATGAGGCAGAGGTGTGACAGTCCTCATGCTCTGGGATCATTCCCGTGAAATGTTGTAGCAGCAGTAGCACTGGCAATCTCCATGATGTTGCAAAGAGTTGTATCTGCCAATCTGAATGGCTGGCGTCTTTGCCTAGGCTTCCTCAATTAAGGGCCTAATTACAGCAGAAAGTATCAGCCACCAATTAGGTGCCATTGCAGGAACATCTGGGGATGTCACTTTGTAATAAGATGCAAGTTTCTCTCCACTTATCTCTCCCATGAGAAGGCATGCTAAATTGAAAAGAAGCCTGTTATTGCCACCAAGAAAATATTCATAAAGATACATACAAACATACAAATTAGGACCAGGTGCAGAAGTAAGCCATGTGGCTGCTCAGCTTGCTCTAATGAGCGATAAGATCATGGTTGATCAGATTGTTGTCTCAACTCTACCTTCTGAGTCATCCTATACCCTTCAATTCTTCTTGTCACAGGAATTCATCTAACTCAGCCATAAAATATTCAAGGTCCCAGACCACAAGTGGGGAAGACAGTTTCACAGACCAAAGTCCACCTGACAGAAATGTCTTCTCATTGCTGTCTCAGTGGGAAACCTTATTTTTAAACTGTGTCTCCTAGTTCTAGTATCATTCACATGGGGATATATTTTCTCAACATACATCCCTGTCTTGATCCCTTCAGAATCTTACCTCCCATTCTTCTAGACTCATATGATATCTCCTTCATCTCAGAAATCAGTTGAGTGAATCTTCTCTGAACTATTCCTCATGATATTATATCCTTGCTCAAATTAGGAAACCAAAATTGCATGCAATATTTCAAACATGATTTACCAATGCCCAATACAATTGTAGAAAAACTTTATACTTTTATCTTCTAATTCCCTTGCAACAGATGGCAACATTTTATTTGCCTTCCTAATCACTTGCTGTGCCTATATTTTAATTTGCCTAAGGAGGTGAGCAATGGAAGCACTATATCCTGGATGCAGTGCAAAAATTATTTCATGGTCTAACCTAGTCAAGAAAAGTGAATGCATATGCTAAATTAGTTCCATTTTGTGATGTAAACTGTCTCTTTCACTTTACCTACTAAATGTACTACAATGGGTATTTTTGCCTAGCATGTACACTTTTGGCCTGCTTAAAGGAAAGATGTGCATGCCTTCAAGAGAGAGATTGTAACAGAGATTCACCATGTGAACCCTGGGATGAAGTGGTTTGTCTTTTGTGGAAGGATTGAATAGACTAAATTTATATTCGCTAAAGTTCAGGAAGATGAAAAGTGGTCTTGTTGAAAGATATACAATTTTTCTGACAAGTTAAATGCTGTCAGGATCTTTCTTACGCCTAAGGATTCAAAATGATCACAGTCTCAGAATAAGGGATTGGCCACTTAGGACTGAGATGAACAGAAATTTCTTTATTTGAGAGACATGAACCATTTGAAATTCTTTTCACCAGAGAACTGTGGATGCTCAGCCATTGAGTATGTTCAATAAAGTACATCAACAGATTTTGGACACTAACGGAATGAAAAGAAATGGTGAGAGGACACAAAGATGTTGCTGAGTTTGAAGATGTGTGCTCCAGTCGTATCAGATAGTAATCACATCACTGCCTAATAACATCCATAGGCATCACTTTCTATAAATGTTCACAACTCCTCATTTATGCATCCATGACTGGCACTTACCTCAGCACTTATGCAATGTAATACATCTGTTTCATAGTCACCCTCACAAAATGTATAGCATCCACTGGGTGAATATGCAACCTTATTCACTTAAAATATATTTCTTCTTTACTTGTAAGGAAAGAGGACACAAAATGCTTTGTGAAAGGTAATTTTCCATGTTAGAGAAGTTGTTTAAAAGTATTTAAGAGTCAACATATTGTTACAAAGTTTGCTTTGAATGCAATGGACTGGTCCCAACTTTGTCGATGACATTAGTCTCTATCTACCATGCAAATACAGGATCTGCATGACGTTCGATACATCTGAAAGGGGAGCTACACCTTAGGATGCTGTATTTATATAGTTTGTGGAGTAACAGTGCAAAAAAGGCAGTGGTTCCTGGATGTTGTTTTCAAACTGTCAATCTGTTTCCCACTGAAGTTGTTGAGCAAACACACCATTAGCTTCACAGTTATTTTTACAGTAAATTCTAGTCAATTATGTTACAGCAAGAAACATAGTCTGTCTCATCATATCTACAACTGTTAATAGATTTATTTTAGCTAGTGTTTTTGGATAGATGACAGGTAACATTAGGATACACATGCAGTTTTATTTAAATCTCATGCATGTCCCAGTCATGGCCTTGAAGTGCTTCATACCCTCACTCAATTGTTAGGCAAAATTATTTTGACTCTATATGCAGAACTCTAATATTACAAAACCGCTACGCAGAAAAATGGTGGAAAATAAAAGCATCCTTCAAACCATTCAGTGTGTGACTCAAACTTTGAACAGCAGTGTAAGTCTTGTGTCAAGGACAGTTTTATGGATCAGTTGCAGATCAGGTTTTAAGTATAAACTATGGTAGAGAATATAACTTGCAGAAGATTAAAAATAGGATAGGTAATATTCTTTTAAAAACATGTAGTTTTGTAAAAGTGCTACTAAATTACAGCTGCAATGATGGAAGTATTAAAACCTAACCTGGCTGTAAATTTCATACCATCCAGAACAGTATTCTATAATGCTGATGGCAAAATGAGGAATGCAAGACCAACAAGCAGGTTGTTAGACATGGATTTGAGTTATCTCCACCTATTCACATGCCTTAGCAATTTATAAACTGACAAACATACTAAAAGAAAAACATACATTCAGTGATTTTGTAAAAACATGATGATGAATCACAGTGAGCATGAGCAGTAAATGAAAGGATTCATCTCATGGCATCCTTGATAAGCATGTCAAAGTGGAACTGAAGAATAATTAGAATAATTCAACAAATTTGTCAGTAAGCATAACAAAGTAATAATAGAAAGAAATAAATGCCACAAAATAACTGCACGTTCTACTGGTATTTCCACTTATCTTCACAGATTTTGACATTTGGTTAGGTTTATTTACAAACAAATGAATTAAAACCAACATTTAAAAAGTACACACAAAACAATGTATACTGAAAAGTTACCTGATATCATCATCTTCACCAAGGATATGTTTTGGAAGGGGAGAATATCTTCCTGATGTAATCTGTGGAAGCGAGGATTTGTAATCCAGCATATCATTATTCCCAGTTGAGGGAAGGACGTGATTCTGTATTGGAGGGGAATAAGCTAAGAAAAAAATACAAAAAAATTTTGTTTTTAAAATTATAAAGGGGGTTTCTGCATTATATACTCTAGCTGGTAATAATAAATTGAAAGTTAAGAAAATCTTGAAAGGTATATTTGGCAGGCAGTTCAACAAGACTTGAAACTAAACATGAACAATCAATACAATGTATCAACAAGTTTAATAAAATACTGAAACAAATAGACAAAGAACCAGTACATTTTTAACTTTTCCTCATATATCACTTCAACCATCTTCATTTTCAATTGTTTCTAATAATACTATACCAGACTGTGCTCCAAAAACCTTTTACATACATTGCTTTCCAAACCACTGATCTGATCGGCGTAAAAGTTCTTCTATATTTAAATATGTAAATGTTAATAGTGGAGAAAATAGCTTGGAGGGGCATCCTGTATAAGACAATGGTTCTGAAAGGGTTAAAGTTAGTGGCTGCATTAAAGTCCAATCAATCTGATGATATATAACTCTTGAACTGAGAATTAGGAGTCCAGCTTGAGGTCCCAATTAGATTAGATGTGTCATCCCTGGCTCCTGATGGCCTTAGTAATTGTATCTAACAAGCCAAAGTAACATGTAACTGTTATTATCATGCAATAAACTGACGAACTGATCAAACAAACTGACCAATTGCGCTCCCTATGCCAGGGTGGCATGGTGGTTCAGTGGTTAGCACTGCTGCCTCACAGTGCCAGGGACCCAGGTTCAATTCCAGTTTTGGGTGACTGTGTGGAGTTTGCGCCTTCTCCATGTGTCTGTGTGGGTGTTCTCTGGGTTCGCAGTCCAAAGACATGTAGGTTAGGTGGATTGGCCATACTTAAATTGCCCGTAGTGTCCAGGGATTGTGTAGGTTAGATGGATTAGGCATGGAAATGCAGGGTTACAGGGATAGGATAGCGGGGTGAGTCTGGGTGGAATGCTCTCTGAAGAGTTGGTAGATTTGTTCGGCTGAATGGCCGTTTCAACACTGCGGGGATTCTATAAAAATACCATCTCTTTGTATAGCAATTTCAGAACTAATGTGTGTGTTGTGGAACCAATAATGAGCTAATGGTTGGGGTACAGTGCTGCCACTGATGCTCTTCTATACCAGATCTAACAGTCTGTTTGGTTAACAGTGGTAGAAAATGAACACAACTGAAGTTTAACAAGTGGACCAACTTGCCTTAATAATAAGATACAGTTTATTGCATGATAATAACAATTACCTGTTACGTTGGCTTGTTCGATAAAATTATTAAGGCCTTCGGGAGCCAGGGATGACACATCTGATCTAATTAGGATCTCAAGCTGGACTCCTAATTCTCATTTCAAGAATTATATATCATCAGGTTGATCGGACTTTAATGCAGCCACTAACATTAACCCTTTCAGAACCACTGTCTTATACCGAATCACCCTCCAAGCATTGTTAACTTTTACATGTTTAAATATACAAGAACTTTTACATTTACCATAATCCCATCTGTCACCAAGTCTCTGACTTCACAAATTCACACTAAGTGAAGTTTCATAATTCTTCCAGAATGGTTTGATTCTAGTCTTCAGCTTCATTGGTGTCCATTACCATCATGACAATCTTCACTGGGATTCCCCACATCAAGCACTACTGAATGATTATTTCACAATTAGACAACTTCCCGCAGTTCCAGTGTACAATGTTCTCAGTTGTACGGAAAATGTATAATCGCTGGGATCTGGGATTCGCTGAATGGACCTGCACATATTATTCATTTCTAATTGACTTTGAACTAAAATCACAGGCCAGTTAAGTCTCAACCTATTTGTTAAGGGTCAGGAGTTACATGTATACCAATCCAGGTAAGGATGGTGAATTTCCTTCCCTAAAGGATAATGGTGAACCAGGTTGGCTTTTTAGGACAATGATTTCACAATTACCATTAGACCAGCTTTTAACACCAGATTTTACTGAATTAAAATGTAATCATCTGCCATGAAGATCCCCAGAACATTAGTCTACGGTTCTGGGTTACTAGTCCAGTAACATAACCACTACATCACCATATATCCAATGGCTGACTCTTGGACAACCATTCCTATTTAGACCCTTAGTCAAAACCATTGCTCTTGGACCAAGTGTAGAAACTGTCATGCGCAGTGATAAACAAACTATGACAAGAATGAATAAAAAGAACAAATCTAAAAGCTAACCATCAACTTGAATTTACAAGAGTCAGGGGATAAAACTAAAGGCTTTGCATCTCGAGGCACATAGCATTCATTACAAAACAGATGAATGGAGAACAAAATACAAGTTAATACGTGTGATCTAGTAGCCATTACAGAGATATGGCTGCAGAATATCAAGGAATTGGACTTAAACTTGAAGGGCACACAACATTTAGGGATGACAGGAAACTAGGGAAAGGTGAAGGAGTGACTCTGTAAGTTAATGATGGCATTAGCACAATGGAGAGGGATGACAAAATTTTAGGGAACCAAAATGTGGGAACAATTTAGGTAGAAATGAGAACTGAAAAAGGCAAAAAGTCATTTGTGGGAGAGGAGTTCGGGGCCTTTAAAAGTAACCATATAATAGCATGCAGCATAAAGGAAGAAATAATGAGAGCTTGTTAGAAACATACAGTTATAATCATTGAAGGTTTTAATCCATTTAAAGACTGAAAAATTCAGTACTGCACTTTGGAGCTCACTCACACCTTACATTGTCATGCCATTATCCAGTTGCTTTGTGTGCAGTGACTGGCTACCCATCTCTTGCATCAGACCAGGGAGCATCTTAGGGCCCATAGCTTGTCATAGCATCTCTACCTTGCCTTAATGCAGACAGATATCCTGAAAATTTTTCATGTTTGGCAGCAATGAACAGTAATGGAGGACAAAGTTCAGTCCAAGGGCTAGTCCTTCATCAGTCAGGTAAGGTGATGAAGTATACTGAGTAAATGGATAGACAGAACAGAAGGGAGGAAGAATTAGGAGTCTGGGGGGTTGGAGTGGGTGAGAGCCATTGAGGAAATATGCTGCATGCAATATAGACAGTGATATAGCATGACCCTTGGTGGAAGGTGTGAGATGGCAGATTTACAATTAGTGGGAGGTAGCAGAGAGACAGGATGGTAACACTTTTTGCAGTGTGCAAAAGGTCATCAACCTTCTTCCAGTAATGCTGCAAATTCCTCTAGACCATGCCCACTGTATTGAGTTGGGTGGCTACTTCAGACCAGGGTGGCGGCATTTGACATAGCTGGAGTTTAAGTATAGCACCCATGGGTGCATGTCGGAAAAGTGCCAGTGTCAGCGGGCATTTCACGGCTGCTGAGTGCAAGGTAGTGCAAGAACAGTGCGATAGAGGCGTCATGCATACTTTAATGAGGTAAGCAGTGGAGAGTAGTGTGACATAGCACGCTAGATCTCACAGATTTAAAAAACATCTATGAACCACCCTGAAATTGTCACTTAACAGATTTTTGTTGAGTTCAGCCTTCTGTAATGGGCAAGTACGACTAGTTTTTTTACCTTGTAGTTGCCCACACAGTTTCTTTCACCTCTTACTACCTTTGAGGTTAATGTTTTAGCCCAGAATATAGTTTTTGCTCTGCGTGCCTTCCATGACTTCTGCTGTCTGTTTCTCTGTGAAAGTATAGAAGAATTTAAAACATGATAGATTTTGATAGAGGGTACTGATAGAACAATTGAGTGGTAAGAATGTAATATAAGATGGTCATCAAGATTTCCAAAGGAATGCAGAAGAAATATCTATTCCAAAGAGTGGTGAGAATGTGGAGTTTGCTAACATAGAAATAGATTGAAATGAGTTGTATCTAGATTCATTTATGGGGAAACCAGCCAAGCATATGAGGAAGAAAGTGATAGAGTCACAATGATAGAATTAGAGAGAAAAGATGGGAAAGGGTTTCATTGAAGTATAAACATAGTTTGGTTGGCCGAATTGTCTGTCTCTTTGTTGCATGGTCTACGTAAAGTCCTTGCAGTTTGGGATTCTAAGGCTAAAATTAGTCTTATTGCTGGAGGTTGTAGAGACCAACTGAGTAATATACATGTTAGAATGGACTCACTCGTAGCTGAAAAAGTAATCTTGAAAATCTTTTTAGCTCTTTGGTCACATAATTTTGAGAATATAAATCAAATAACATGAAAGCAACACTTTTGCAGAATGTCTCTTTTCAGAGAGAATTTTTCTGATACAGATAGAGGATGCAGAAGGGCAACTAATCAAAGTTTAAGGCTTTGTTTATGACCTAAATATTGCTTCCAGGATGTGGTATTTTTCAGAGATCTGCTTTAATGAAAATATCTTATGTTCAAGAAAAACAGATCCTGCAATGTTTTATTGGTATCACGATAGACTTGAGAAATGAGATTCCTAATGAGATTAGAATAGAATTGAAAATTGGAGGTTAGGTGATAGCATGGCTTTACCATAGGAAGGCCTAAATCTGAACCATGCAGGAACCAGTATTCTGACAAATCAAATAACTGGGGCAGTAGAGAGGGTTTTAAACTAAATAGGGGTGGGTATGGATCAAATAATGGGAGATATAGTAAAGTGAGACAACAATATAATAGACCAGGGCCACAATTTGGGTAATGATTACTGGAGTGTGACAAGAAGAACAAAACATTTTGGAATGACAGAAAGCTGGAAAAGGTCTTGGGTTAATTCTGTTAATTAAGGATGACATTATATTAATACTTAGAGATTACCTTAACTTGAAAGATCAAGATGTAAATTTAGTGTGGATAAAGATGAGAAATAGTAAAAGCAAGAGGCAGTTACATTCTGAGGCAGAGCTTGCAGGAAGAAATAAAATTGACATGCAAGAAATATACTACAATAATCACGAATGACGTTAAACTACATGTAGATTAGAACAAGCAGACTAGCACAAAGTAGCCTGGAAAGTTAGTTCATAGAGTGGTTTAGGACAATTTCATAGATTGGTTTATCTAGAGTTAATTAGGGAACGGACTATCCTAG